CTTCACATTTGCCGCCTTTCGACCAATAGGCCTCGGCTCTTTTTGGATTGGTGAGTCATGACTCATTAAGGAATCCAAAGGCGAATCCGATGCCGTTGAATCATGGAGTGGTGTCTCGTTCAACACAACGGTCGGACCCGTGGGAATAATTCTAAATCTCGCACAATTTTTCAACACCTCACAACATTGGTCATGGTTGAAAGATTTTTTGCCTTGCCCAATGGCACCGAACCATATTTGTGCTTGCATAATCTATTTAAAAAAATGAGAAATGCAAGAATCATTAAAAAAAAATATTGGAAATGCAAGAAACATTAACAAACTATTGGAAATGCAAGAAACATTAACAAAGTATTGAAAATGCAAGAAACATTAACGTGAGTGGGTGTGGGTGGCTTATTTTTGCCAGATCAATTCGGGCTGATGAGCACTCAGAAACCATCATTCTTCATCATTCCATTTTTTGCTTTTCTCCTGTGTCTGCGCATTTGGAGAAGAAAAACATTATCTTTGAATATACAATCTCCTGGTGGTACCTAGTGGCAAGGCTTTTCCAGAAATGTCTTCTCTTTCTTCACGTACGCATGTCCCTGTTATCTTTTTGGTTGAATTTGCTGACTTTTCAAAAGGTGTTGCACATGGGTTCTAATCATTTTGTTTTGTTCCTTTTGAATTGTATAAACCAAAGGTTGGTTTTCCTGAAGCCCATTTCTATTCAGCTTGATCTTGATTCATTTCGGGTGGGGCTTCTTTGGATTTTGGGCTCTCGGGATCCGAAATCTCTTGGGCTTGATTTCTGTCTTTTCTTTCTGGGCCTTAAATGACAGGCCCGATGTTTCTTGGCCCAATTTCCAAGAATGTTGATGACTGGCTTGAATGAAGAGTTTTGGCAAAAAAGTGCAAATTTTGGTACAAACAGATATGGATTAATATGTCTTAAGGATGTAATCACGAGGTACTAAATTGTAATTAACTCAAAAATAAAACTAAATAATATAATAAAAGCTCAGCTTTCTCTTGCTATCGTATCAGCCAGCCATACAAACAAACGGCCGCGACACAAAAAGCCATTTCTGTTCTCTCTCTCTGGCTTCTCATCTTCTCTCTTTCAACCCGAAAGTCTTATGGGTGTGTGGAGTTATATTGACTGTTTTTCAGCTAAAGTATCCCCCCAGGCAGCTCACATTTGGGTCTTATTTGCTCAAGTTCTTCGATTTCCTCTGAGTTCTTTAAATTCTGTTGTTTTATCAAGTTCATAGAGAAAAAGTTTGTGTTTGTATTTTTGGGTTTTTTTTCTCCTTTTAATTTAATTTTTTTTTACTCTATTTCTTTCTAATTTCGCGATTTAGAAATAAAGGGGTTTATGGATTTATCTAGCCGTTGGCAGAAAAGAAGGGCTAACGCCAGCCTGGCGTCAGCGCACGAATTTAAATTTTTTTACCTTTCACGCGCCAAAGGTAAAAAAATTTAAACCCACGCGTTGATGTCAAGCTAGCGTCAGCTTGCCCTCGGGCTAGAGCATGGGCTCGTTCTGCCTTCAGGCTAGCCCAGTTTCATGGGACCCACAAGCTCCCTGGGCAACTTTGGCCTATTGGAAGCCCGTTTTGGGGCTTGGGCCCTCCTTGCCCTAGCAGGGGATGGTCGATGGAACTGCTCTAATGGTGGAACTCTATTGTAACAAATTTAAAAGACTGAGGTATGTTATTGTAAAAATTGATAAGATATGGATTAATATGTCTTAAGGATGTAATCACAAGGTACTAAATTGTAATTAACTCAAAAATAAAACTAAATAATATAATAAAAGCTCAGCTTTCTCTTGCTATCGTATCAGCCAGCCATACAAACAAACGGCCGCGACACAAAAAGCCATTTCTGTTCTCTCTCTCTGGCTTCTCATCTTCTCTCTTTCAACCCGAAAGTCTTATGGGTGTGTGGAGTTATATTGACTGTTTTTCAGCTAAAGTATCCCCCCAGGCAGCTCACATTTGGGTCTTATTTGCTCAAGTTCTTCGATTTCCTCTGAGTTCTTTAAATTCTGTTGTTTTATCAAGTTCATAGAGAAAAAGTGTGTGTTTGTATTTTTGGGTTTTTTTCCTCCTTTTAATTTAATTTTTTTTTACTCTATTTCTTTCTAATTTCGCGATTTAGAAATAAAGGGGTTTATGGATTTAGGGAACCTATGGGAACCCAAATGTGCAAATGAGCAACTCCATCCTCAATCCAAAAGCTAAGAAAATTCTCCACTGCTGATGCAGAGCAGGTGCCGCCATTGTTCTCCTTTATGCGACTTACACTGGCTTGAGATAGTTGTTTGATGATTCCCAGTTTGTTATATGTTTGTTAGTTTATGATTAGGCTTCATATGGATCTTTTTTGGCTTTCTTCTTGTTTATGAGGTAAGAATTACAGAGTTGGTTAGAGTTCAGTGTTGAATATTCCAACGTAGTTTTGGAATTTTGGTCTTGTAAGTGTTATTTTGTTGTGTGGCTTGCAACATGAATTTACAGTTTGGTAAATTACTGCATACTTTTCCTCTTTGCTTTGTTTTTAATTGATCTTGTAGTATTTTGAATTTTGAAATGAGGCATGTGCTTGCACATTGACTATTTTCAACAGAATTTTTGACAGAGTTATATGTAGGTGCCACATTGCAACAAATTTTTAGTTGAGATGGAAATTGCTTCAATATTATTTGAACAATTTTTTTTTTCAGGTAGCAGATTGAAACAGTTCATGCTGCATTGGTATAATTTTCCCAAAATAATAATTTCAACTGTGCTTTGAAGATCTGCGACTCATAAGTCCAACCATGAATATATGCAAGAACCTCATGCCCACCATGAGGCAATTGGATGGTTTCACAAAGTATTGTCGAGGTAAATCCTTCTATTCACTCGGTTTCGATATTCTATAATAATGTTAATACATGGAATTAAAAAACGTTAAATATGATGCCTGCTAAGGAAAAATTGCAAATTTGAATGAACCATTGATTGAATTTGTGCTGTATGTCATCTGGATTAAAATCTGAATTGCCTGCAAATCTTTGCGGGATCAAAACCTTGTTCATAGTTCATATGTATTTATTTGTTTAATTTGTTTATCTTGTTTGGATTAGCACCATTCAAGTGTCACTTGGACTTCATCTATGCTACCCTAAATTATGTTAGTCAGCTATAGTCAGATGTGAGGGTGAAGGGACTTGATATTCTGCCCTAAATTTTGTTAGTCTCCCGTTGAATACATATAAATTGTGAGCTATAGTCATAAAATACATGCAGAGGTTTGGTGGTAGTTGTGTAAATTGAGAGTTCTATAGCTTTTTCAATGGTGAAGAGATCATGTATAATAGCAACAAAAGCAGTCCATGGGGCAAAATGTAGGAATTTTTATCACTACTTTTCCAAGTATAGAGGGCGTTACTAACCTAAGCTAGGTTCCTTATACTTGTTTTCATGTTCAATGCAGCATCATATTTTGCCTTCATACATTCGTCCCCAAACTTCTCAGTAGAAGTTCATACTCCAGATCAGGAAGTAGTGATTGCTTTAGGAAGCAATGTGGGTGACAGACTGCATAATTTCAATGAAGCTTTGCAGTTAATGAGAAAATCAGGCATACACATCACAAGGCATGGTTGTTTATATGAGACAGCACCAGCCTATGTGACTGATCAGCCTAATTTTCTCAACTCTGCTGTTAGAGCTGTTACACAACTTGGGCCTCATGAGTTATTAGGAGCACTGAAGAAAATTGAAAAAGAAATGGGTCGTACTGACGGTATAAGGTATCTTCCCAGGCCAATTGACTTGGATATATTGTTCTATGGAAAGTTAAGAGTCAGTTCTGAGATTCTTACAGTCCCCCATGAAAGAATTTGGGAAAGACCGTTTGTAATAGCCCCACTAATGGATTTACTGGGGTCAACTATTGACAGTGATACAGTTGCTTGTTGGCATTCTTTCTCAATGCATTCTGGTGGGCTTTTTGATGCTTGGGAGAAATTGGGTGGTGAAACACTCACTGGAAAGGAAGGCCTGAAGAGGGTTTTGCCCATTAGAAAAGGCTTGTGGGACTGGTCAACTAAAACTTCAGTCATGGGTATCCTTAATCTGACCCCAGATAGTTTTAGCGATGGAG